GTAATTACTAGGATTGAAACAAAAATATTTATAATAAATAAATCAATTTTGATTTATACGAGAACTTTTTCTTTTTGAACTGAATTATTATTATTAAAAAAATTTTTTTTATCTTTCAGATTAGGAATTGTTATTTGAATATGTATTTAACTCTTTTTATTCAAATAAGAATTTTTTTCAATAACTCCCAATTAAAATGATACATGTGTATATTCAATATTTAAAAATATTTACATCAACAAATTTCCTATAAATCATATCTCTTCACCTGGGGTTTTTTTTTATATCCATCAATATCAATATTTTCCAATGAAAAAAAAAACTGAAAAAAGTTTGTTATCAAGAATGAAGTAATTAAAAACAAATCCTGCCACCTTACACATAATAAAACCTTTAATTTCGAAATAAACTTGAGACAATTGACCTTGGATAGTCTACGAGAGAAACATGTACATATCGTCCACGAGGCCGAACTTGAAGGTCGCAGGATTGCACGACTCCAATACGTCTGCATACATCGTCGCCTTTACAACAGACTCGTGTGAGCAAAAACTCAAAACACGTGTAACTGCAGGGAAAAAGCAAGAAAAATGAGAAAACAAAAGTGCACATCACGGAATCGCATTCTATGATATGCAACAAATAAAGAAAGAAGAATGTGAAGTAAAAAAAAAGGTTGAACTTTTCAAATAAAAGATCGATCTCGTGACTGAGACTCTAAAGAACCCGCAACTTCCGGGCATTTCGTGCATGTCTCGAGGCAATATACACATGGGTCAGCCTATAGTGCTTTATTTCTCGTGGGTGTGTTTACGTTGACGACATGCGTGTACATCAGAACGCGCCCATGCTCGAAGGAAAGCGAGGGAAGAGAGGAAGAGAAAAGGCATCAGAGGCCAAAGCCAGGCGCTGGCCTTGTTGTTGCCTAAATAGGTCAGCATGACGAAGAGTCAGTTATATATTGAACAAAGAGAGGGACTAAAACGATCGATCCTGAACACTGATTCATAGTAAAAAAAAGTCCTTTACTATCGCCTGAATTAACACGACTTTAGTCTCAGAATATTTAGACTATGAAAAAATATTTTTCTTTTAGTTATCAAAATAAAAATGATTTTAATGAAAGGAATTAAGTACAAGTAATTAATATATTCTAATCTTATGAAGTATGAAAAGTTGGATATTGCTAATGGCTTGAAATGACCATAAAAATTCTAAATACAACAAAACATAAACGTCAGCTTCCAGATAACGTGGTTGAAGAGGAGGGAGTGACTAGTTACCTACAAAAGTGTGTCGTTACGAACTCGCATCGTGGCTTAGCAGGCGGTGACTCAGGCCACGAATAAGTGTGCCATGGATATTCCTCTCTTTATTCTCCTATAATCCTCTCGCTTAAGTGCTCACTCAGTCGCTTTCTGAATGGTAAAAATTTTTCAAAATTTACTACTGCACTCAATGCATTGTGTTAAAATTATTTCTATTTTTTAATATCATTGTTTTATATTTTTGATACTTCTTTCTCCATCTGCCTACGATATTAAAGTGTTAATACTCCTTAGAGTCATTATAAATTTGCTGACATACTCACATCGAGCTTCAGTTCATCTGAGAAAGTTTTTTAAATGTTTAATCAAGCTTTTGGGTTGAAATTTATTTTTCAATTATTAGTTTAATGACGAAATATAGATGATTATCCACGTAATGTTTTTCAATGAAAAATATTTAATGTAATTCATAAGAATGTACTTTTATTGTGTATTATTTTTTTTATGAAGGACAAAGATTTTATACGTTGAAGTTTTCTTTTATGAGGAGTATCTATTTTGAACGGAGCTTAATCTACTTTTATCGTCCTTTGAACCTGATGATTAATTTCAAAGGATGAACTTAGATTTTACAGGCATTAGAGATTTACATAATTTTAGATTAATATTTTTTTTAATATCACAACTTTTATTATATAATAATGTAAACGTGAGAAGATGAGAACAATTATTGTTTTTAATCTGGACTGAACAATTTTTAATTATAAAACAAATTGTTTAAAATTATTTTTTTAATTTAAATTCATTTTTGAAGAATTATTTTTATTTGATTAAATTGTGATAGAATTGTTCATAATAAAGGTAAATGAATAGAATCATTGGAGAATTCGTTATTTTTTTATTTTCTCCAACTTAAAATAAAACACATGAGAAAAAGTTTTTGAAAGGATCGAAGAAAGTTTCATGCTTACAATGTGAACATTTAATGCTACTTGCTTCATACACTCAAACTGTCAATTTGTAAGATATAACCAAGTTTCAATCTATAATTATACATTCTAAATTTTAAATAAGTCACTAATTTCATCGTAGAAATTTGTCATCGTTAATATCATTACTATTTTCAATGATTAATTTGATTACTTTCTCAGAAAAATTATATTAAAGAAAACAAAATCACTTTTATTGTAAAATCTGTCTGTGAAACTAAATATTTTATAGCAATAAAATATTTTTGAAGTTATTTGAATATGTGAAAGGAATTCTGAAAATGTTACGAAAAATTCCCAAAATATTTGCCAAAAATTTCGAATAAAAGTTTCAACAAAAGTTACTTACTAATGTCAATTTCGAACATACTGAACAGGGTTTATTTATTCAACTTTTTCGAAAATTTACTCCAGTCTTTCTTAAAAAAAATTACCAAAATATCATAATGCACTGAAAATCATTAAACAATGAAAAATTAACTATGTCATAAAAAATACAAGAAAAAAGGAAACAGAAAATTTTTGTGCAATCAACTATGCTGTTTTAAAATAAATCATTATTATTTGATGATGAAACTTTTGTATTGAATAATTAATATTATCATAAACAAAGTGATTTTGATTAAAAATTGATCAAATTACTAGCACTATAGAATCATTATGTGCTGAAATAAATGACTTCACCAAAAATTAATTTTTAATTTATCCAACAATTCTATTTTTCTACTACCAAAGTTTAGTAGACTCTAGAGTCTCTTTAAAATTCTAATATATCAAATGAATCTTCACTACTTAACTTTCAGAATGAAGATCATAAAAATAATTAAATTTCACTTCATTTCAATGTCTTTCAATATCTTTCCTTGTTATTAATTAGTTACTGATCTGTATGAGGTATGATTCGTCATTTTGTTAATTATACAGTGGGAGCAGTTAATAATTATGATTCTGAATCATCGTTTTAGGATCAATTTGTTGCAAAAAATTGATGCAGTTCAATGGCAGATTAAATTGGGTTAGTGTGAGTTCTAATTAACAAGCTTTCATCATAGACTAGTTCATTATCATGCAGCTTTGTTTCAGACACGAACGTCAAGGGTTTTCAAATAACATAAACATCGGCTGGCTTCAATTTCGCATCGAAATTTGTTATGCTTTAATCTACCAACACTACTCTATATGCTGCTTCGAATATTAATCTAAATACATATACACTTTTTATAAACACTAAGCAAATGGCATCAGACATTTTTTATTTAAATACTTCATAATTTAATTTTTAAGTATTAAAATCAACAAATCTTTAGAGAAAAAAGATTTTTAATATTTTCATTTAAAGTAAAAAAAACAGTCAAACAATTAAAGGAAATCATTTGGCTCAATAAATATGAGCTTTTAATTGGAATCAAGCTTATCATGATTGACACAGATTTTTTAAAGATATGAATGAGTCATTTGTAATATTTTGATTAATAAATAATAAAGGAAATATTTCTAAATAGAATTCCAATTTTGAAGCTTTTGGAATGACTTGAGCTTTTTTTGAATTGTCATTAAATATCAATTGTTCTGTTCTTTTCTTTAAAAGTGAAAAATTAATATTAAATATGCATATTACGCGAAATGAAAATTAAAATTTTAATATGAAAGATTTTGATGATTTAATTATAGTAAAAAATAATTTCAAAATAGTTTATGGCAATGTAGAGAGAGAGGTTTAATGTAAAAATGTTTTTGTTAAAAATAGATTAAACTCAAATTTAGAAACTTTTTAATTCATGATAAAATTCTTGGTAGTATTATAGAAGTATTTGAAGTTCTTCGTACAAAAGAGAAAATTTCAATTCAACAAGTTAATACGACAATAGTTGATGAAGCGCACCACCCCTAGGGAGAGTTTAGTTCTTGAGCTGTGATGTAGATATAGCTTCATAAAATACAAACTCTAGCAACTGTAAAGTCGCTGGAAAGCATGAGAAACTGTATATTGTGCGATCTCTCTCTTCGCGAATGCTGAGACGTACAAAAGTGGCATGGCTTTGAAGCTTGGAATGCGACCGAGCTGGGCAGCAGCCTTGAGCACGCTAGTAGCACGAGTCAGCCTAGAGTGCGACTTTGAATCGTGTCTCTTTTTGTATCTTCTTTTGTTAGCTAAAATGCCAAAAGTACTTTGAACTCTTAAACATTTTTATTTCATTAAAAAAATTCTTTCATTTTCAAAAATTAACTCTTTGGATTTAATTTATCGTTTGAAGCGAGTCGTTGAAAAGTGTATTGTTTGCTGCAAAAGCTATGGCATAATGAGAGATTCAGGACATTTGGGTTGATATACATAACCATTATCTGATCAACTTGATTGATCTAGGCCATAACTAAAATGTTTTTTTTTTTAATTTTATTTTTCACAATAATAATTTTCTTCTGTTAAAATCAGTAACTATTTACCAGTTATCAGTGCCAAGTCTACCATGAACATATCAGTAGCTTTTTTGGTTCTGATAATCAATAAATAGCCGCCAACTTGCAATGATCTCTACTGATTGATTTTATTTTGATCAAAAAATGTGGATCTTTTATTTTTCTTAATTATCTATAACAAATTTGGAAGACAATTAAAAGAATGTATGAAATAAAATGAAACTATTTGGAGTAGTATTGAAATCAAGATGATAGAAAATGTTTTGTAGATGAACATTTGGAAGTTTCAAGTTTCTAATCACGAATTTAATTTGATGATTTTCAGGACGGAGAAACCGAGTCAATAAGTGATTTGATATCTACTATGGATAGACGACCGAATTGTTTTATAAACATTTCGTGGTACTGTGAATTTGATGAGAAATCTCCAAAATCAATTTAGTTATCAAGGTTAGTTAATTTTTATTATTATTAAAAAATAACAATAAACAATTTTTTAAATATTTAGATCTATGTTGATTGAATTCAATATGGAAGAAACTACTAACTTATTAAGTGTTCCAATTATATTAGTTAACACTAAAAAGTGTTTCCTACAAACAATTTTATATTAATTATCATTATGAAAAATATTAATATTTGATGCATATGAGATTTCCAATTTTTAGTACAATAGTTTAGTACCACCATGATTCAAAATATAACAATTGTTCATTACATCATTTCAAAAAGTATTTTTTTTTTCTGTTTTTGGGTCATTTTAGGAAAAATTGTGGTTTTACAACAGAATAAACACATGTTCAACAACGTTTCCTTCTAGTAAAAAAAAAGAATTCAAATTTCCATATTATTTCTCTAGATCTTTAATAAAAATTCCCCAGCCTCTCCATTGGATTCAATTATTACAATTTATACCTGAGAAAATATTTGTACAATTTCTCCAGAAAAAAATGCAAAAATCTAATTCTCTCTTTAAAAGCAGAAAGTTACATCAAACATAGAAAAAAAAAAATTATCATATGATTCATTACCGACCAAGAAAAAAAAGTCAAGCATTACAGAAAAATTTTTCTAACATTATTATCTCGACATTCTTATCTGGATAAAAATAATTTTCATACGAATGCATTATGATTACTCTCAACATTAATGAGATTGCAAATGTGTACAGCAACACAGTATGTCGAACAAGTTGACAATGTTCTCCAAATATCTGATAGCAAGAAGACCACGACCTATAACAAATTTGACGACCCCAAAGTCACGTTTTGTTGACCATCAAGTTAATCCTTGCTCAGTTCACTATCATCCTGGATGATTAATATTCGAACAACAATGATTTGGGTTCTTGCCCACGCACGTTCGCACGAGTACACAGAGTGAGAGAAGGCTCTGGCGCGCGACCACAAGCATTCATGCTGCGCGCCCAAAGTGTCGTAAAACTAATCTCTCAGATACCGATTACATAAGCCGCCCTCTTGCTCCCGTAATTCCCTCAGTGTCACGTTATACACACGCGCGGCTCTCGTCTTTCTCGAACATTTATGCTCGACTCGCACTTTCCGTGGGTCGGTTCGTTGACGCACATGTACCTGACCTGCCCCAACAACTCGTACCGCACTCAATTGTTGCTTGTGTGCGACTGTCTATTTACCTCCAATGTCACTGCGTGTCGATGCCCGTGTTTATGCATCATAAATCTCTTTAAATAAACGTTGAATATCTTAATATATTCTCCACGCAGTGTTTTCATTCATCGACTATTTTATTTCACCGCCAAAAGCTTACTCTCATTTATTACTTTAAACGTATTATCCAACACGATATAAACATCACTCACTCAATCGTGGAATGTAAATCAATGTTTATTTGCTTTCTTTTTCATTTTATTTGAGCTTATCGACATTTCAAAGAGCCGTTTAAAAATGTGAGAAAAACGATCAACGTGGATATTTAACAGTTCATTCACAAATGGGATCGGGCCACTCGTGCGTAAAGAGAAAAATCTTTCAGTGTGTATACAAACTCTGTGCTCTAGGTAGTAGGTAGGTCAGGGTTATAAGCATCAAACTACATAGCTTTGCTGAAGGATGAAAAGAGTAAAGAGATGATGATATTAAATGAGACAGAGTGAGGTAGAGAATTCTCGCGACTGTAATCTGGTCGACCCCCAGAGCGTTGCTCCCTTCACTAGAAAATTAATTGAAGATAACACGCGCCGCGGTAACTCCCGCACTACAATTCTACCCGCCAACTTTCCGTGCTTAAATCGTTCCCAGTGAATCACGTACCGGAGCGTCAGGTTACCCAAAGTAGCCGCGGGACTCTTTAAAGCCGGCTTTAAAGTCGCAAGAATTTACTTAGTAGCGTGAGGTGCACGTTGCTTACCGACAAAAGCTACTCTTTTTTTTCCTTCCTTCTTTTCTTCACAGATAAATACATGAATACGTTTGTAAAAAGAGAAAGTTTATTTTCTATATGTATGAAAACAGTGCAAGTGCGATAAACGACTGCTGCAAAAAAAATGTGTAGGAAAAAGAAAGAGTTAATTATATGCACACTAAGGCATATTTAAAGAGCACAACTTGTATATGAATGTATGTAGAGATATGGAATAAAGATAATTTTTTTTTATATGCAAAAAATTACGTCTGATGGTAAAGATATTTATATTTTTATCAAATGAAATTCTTAATACTGATAAAAGGGAATTACTCTTTTTTTTCATTACTCCAATATTATTTCTTTTGTTTTATTCTCGGTTATTTTTGTAATCAAATTGATTGGAAAAAATGTGCACTGTCACTTGAACTTTTTTGTGTTAAAATTGAAAAAAGTTTCCGAATAACTTTGGAACTAATTACGTAATGGAGTGGATTATATAGGATTATTATGTTACTATCACTTTCACGAATAGAATCAATTAAAGATGATATTATTTTAATAAATATTTCTAGTATTTTTACAGATTCAATGATACACCAATTAATTCATTGAAGCTTTATTATTGTTTTCTTTTTATGCTTGAGGTGTTTTGTGTAAATTTTGCTTCTCGTGAAATCCAAATATTTTAAATCGATAATTTCGAAAAATATTCGAGCAATTCTACGTAAGTTTTTCCCGGGCTATATTCTCACGTCAGACGCTATATATTCGTACGATCTAAGCGCGTTCACTTTTATAAATAGAGACGCGCCCTCACCACTCATGCTTACTATCGTCATTTGTATATTCTTCGAACAAAACTTTAAATAATTTTGAAGCTATTCCTACACTTCAAAAAAATTTGCTATGAACAAATAATATTTCCCTTCAACTATTAAAGTCAAAATTTTGAAATGAATTATTTTTTCGAAATTGACATGGTAATGTTTTTAGAGATACAGTTCTGATGATTACTCAAAATAATTCATTAAAAACTCCATTTTTATTTTGCTCAATAATTTGAATAGAATTATTAGAGTATGGGTTTACTCTAGTATTTCATTGAATTGATCTTTTTTTTGGAAATCCATGGTTTCTCTGAAAGTAAAAATTTTATCAGAATTCATCTGATGTCACTTGCATTCAAACTCATTAAAATACGTTTTCCAACACAATTTAAAAATTTTTTATTAATTTTATTTAACCAAAAAAAGGAAATAATAATTCAATAGAAAAAAAATTAAATCTTTTTATTCGTTAAAGGATAATGATGATTGTTACCGTAGTTCTTGTTATAATTAGCATCCAACAAAGCATCATAAAAATGATGAAGAACTAAGTATATGTAATACAGTACTTTTAATGAGGTACTAATGAAGCATTTTGATTAACTTGGCTTATTCACCGTTGACTATTCAAACGTTAGAAATTTCTAAAAGTGTTGACTACACGTTTAGTAACAAGGTAGAAGGGCTCTTCGGAGGTTCCCGTTTCTCTATAACTCGAAAGTTGAATTTCACTTTGAAGTCGATGACAGGATTTCTACTCAACCGGCCGAGTCTCCTCAAAGTTTCTGACGCGGGCTCTTTGTTTCTTCGAATATTCAGTCTGTCTCTATCACGTACTATCCGTTATAGTAACTCATTAAATTTATTTATGATTAAATAAAAAAAATTCACAACTCCACATCAACGACACAACTATCATATCAATAATAATTAAGTATAAATAAATATAATTAAATAAAGTATCATTCAACAGACTTTTCCTGTTATTTATTTTCTCTTCTATTCTTCTATCTATATCTCGAGGTCTCCAAGTACGTCCTCGCTTACTCCAGTGTATGAATATGTCACGCTAAAATTCGCTCAATTTTACCAGGTGTACAATGTCGCATCTTGACAAATGATAAGATTGCGTTGGAGGAGTTGAGTCTTGAACGTTAAATCGCTAAGATACAAACAGTTTATTCAGCAAGTAATAAAAATGTTTTCGATGAATTTTCTTTGGCTGTGCGGCTTATATAGTCTCTACACGTCAGGCAACCAAGGCAAACGTTTGTCTGGTGTCGTGGCACACAGCTTAGGCTGCGTGTGTTATACAGTCCAAGCCAGTGGTGAGTTTGAAACCTAACGGATGCCAAGCAGTGGGTACCATCGGGGCCCACCGGAACTCAATATCGTCAGGCCCAATTTTTTAACATCATTTTTATTATATTTTTTTTTCAAAATAATTTTATTTTATATTTATTCTTCTTCTTCGTATTTACATCAGTCTATATAGGTATGAATCATTAACAAATTATCTCTGTTAATATTATTATCTTCAAAACATTAAAAGAAAAATTTAATATCCATCATTTAGTTATGAGGTTAATGACTTTGGTTTTAATAAGGCTATTTTTTCGAGTTATATTATATATAGTATAGAGCTCAAGTTTCGTATTTTGTCACATGTACCTGTGGATCGATGAGAAGCTAATCGATGTCGTGTGCGCCAGGGTTTAACTTGCGTGGTGATATTTTAAGTTTATCAATTTTTTTTAATATATTTTTTATTTTCATGGTTTTTTATTACACTTGGTATCACGATACAGGCGTTGTTTTATTGAAGAATAATGAACTTTAAGATGATAAAAACAAAATCATTATCCCAAACTAAAAATTCACACATGAGCATGCTAACGAAAAAAGGGAACCTATTAAATCATGATAATTAAAAGATAAATTTAAATAAGAAAATAAATCGATTGGATAATTGTATAATTTACCACCAATTCTCTCCTTCAATTATGTACTTCAATACTAGTATTTGTAGATTGTTTCAATAAGGATTATCTTAGAAATTTAAGAATCGTAAATTATGAGTCTGCCCATTCATCGTTTTATACGACGAGCAAAGTCATAATTTGAGCTGAGTGCCGTGAATGACGTTTGACGCCTCTTTTTCTCATTGCCCCTTCTGTATTCTGGTTGTTATGTAGTATGAGGCTATTTGTTGAGTTTGGCTTTTAATCGAAGCATTAAATTGATTTTACGATCAGCTGTTAAGATGAGGTCGATAACGCCATACCGCGTATTTCATGTTATTCTCCTACGTGCAATGCATTTGTGTTGACGTAACACACGTGGAATCGAGCGAGTACCCAATGTTAACGACAACCCATATTCATTTTCATCGTGTGTGCGTAACAAGATACCTCCTGACAATACCATTCCGATATACATGTGAATGAGAGAATAAAAAAAAAATAAATCCAAAACAATAAACGTACTCTGGTAAATCGTGTCGCAGAGGACCTTCCGAAGGACGTTGTTTTCATTTGGTACCGCGTGGTCTGTTTGGCTTTACAACAACATTATTTCAAGTAGCGCGCGACGCGCACATACATTTGGTTGAATTTCACGCGGTGCACTTCATTAAGATTTTACGACTCGTCAGATGATGGACGAGGTCATTTACTTGCATTCATTCAGAAAGTTTTCCCTTTATCAACCATGAGAAACTCCGTAGATATCTTTCTCTTCAACGATCATTTTATAGGTATTTTTTTATCTATTTACTTTTATATTCTATTTTTAATTTATGAATATGCAGTAAACGCGAAAGTGCTAAGAACCTCGTCGTACGCAATGAGATCGTAAAAATATATCGATAATGAAGCAAGATGATTCTAGTTGTATGATAATATTTTACGAGCAAAAAAAAAATGAAAGCGCTCGTGGATCGACAAGAATGTAGAGGCTGAAAGCGCTTCGGCCGAGTGCGCAGTAGTCTATAAGCAACAATTCTGGCCTCCTTGTCGCCCTTCAATAATTTCTCTGTCGAGTTTGTCCCACAATAAATGGTAGGTAGAGGGCCTTGGTGTTTAGTACTGACGGCACTGAGTTTCGTGGCGTCGTGCCGGAGTGCAGGTGGACCGAAGTTCCACGGAAACGTCCGATGACGTTCGGAAGAAACCCACTCGTCGAGGACTGTTGTCAGAGTATTCAGTAATGCTTCGCATGGCCAGCCAGCAAGTAGGTTTGTCCGTGAGAGTTGTTTTTCGTCCAGTGATCGTGCGGTGTTAATACAATCGTGCAGACGGCTTACGGCAATCGTGAGACCGTGACGCCTTTGAAGAATATATCACCTCTGGGACCTTCTACAGTCGTATTTCTCACTGAAAATTAACAGCTACACCGTGCTGTGTATGGTTTACGAACGATCCAAGATGCTGTCATCAGTGCCAGCTAAATAATAATGTGGTGCGACGTTGGTCAGGTGAGTTTCAGTGTGATTCGTCTTCATCTTGGACTTTTAAACTAAATTTATTATTTCTCGTGAAAATATTCAAGTTTTGTTTCTCTTGTTATCAACAAAATATACCCATGGAGCGTGATGATAGCTACGTGAATTTTCTTCTGTGTTCCAAGAGTTACAAGTCGACCAAGTCTCTCTCTACTCCCAGAGACTAACCGTACTACAAGTATTAAGTGTTCGACGTCCAAACATTCGTGCTCTTTCTCATCTTTCTCATCATGTCGTGTGTGTTTTTTACCTTGTAATTTTTTTTCATCATTAACCATTGTTTAATTTTTGCACTAATTTAAGTTGTTATCATGTGCTATAGTGGTTCCATTTTTCCATCATTTTTCTTTTCAACAAGAAAATTATTTTTTTTCTTCTCGAATTTTTCTCCAGACATGTTATTCTCATGAGTTATTTTTTTTGTTTCTGCTGTTATTATTGTAATAACCAATTTTGATTTTTTTCCTTCAACAACAACAATATACGGCAATTACTAGACAGTTTTCATGAATCTCATGTTCCATTTCAAACCCATGATGAATAGTTAAAGAGAAAATTTCTATTTTTTTTTTTTTTTACACTTGAAAGAAAAAATATTCTATTAACAAAATATTATTTCAATATAATCGTAACTTCAGTGCTAATTGTTTTTTTGTTCATATCTTGGAGTTTGACACTTTTATCAGTCTGTCAAACTTTCTCTAGTGATTCAAGTACTAATTTGTAGATACATTACAGTGAGTTTTGTAACGTATTGGTATTTATGATAGGAAATTATCAAACATAACAAATATTTGGGCCTTCATAGAATGTCAGATTTGACGCGTGGTAACCTCGTGTTCGGTTGTTTGAATTCGAAGCGATCCCGCGTTTCTTTGGTCTGGCGACGGGGGATGTGAGGAGTAAAGAGAGGGCCGGATTCGCGAGTTGAGTATTTTAGAGCGGGGGATGGCGAGTGGTTGAGGAGACTGCTTTGCTTTTTCTTTACTTGGCCAGTGTAGAGGTAACTCAGGGACTTGATATAGCTTATAGAGGAGTCGCTGGACGGTGGTGGGGACTGACTCAGTCGTTACGTTGCGAGGCACAGAAAAGTCTTGCAAGCGCTTATATGACCAACCATCGAGCGGACTACGTTACTATGACTACCCTAACAACAACAATTTACTTCAGGGTAGCTGCTTTTTCCTATTAGTACACTTACGACTTACTTTTTTTGCTGGTGAACTATATTTGAAATATAAATTATGCGTCAAATGAAATTTCGTTTCATTTACTAGTCATTTTCATTGGGAAAATATTATTTGATCGTTGAAATTTTATGATTCAGGGTGGAAAAAAAAATCTATTTTAACGTATTAAATTATTATTATTGAATCGAAGACTGAGTAATACAAAATATGTTATATAGTTTTTTATATTAAATCAAAAATTTATTTTCCGATTATTTGAAATTTAACAATAATTGTTTTTTACTTTTATCTAAAATAGAAAAAAATTTCTAATAATAAGTAGAAATTATTATTTTTTTTTCTTTCTTGCTAGAAATGTTCATGTGAACATTTTTCATTACATCATACTCTACACAGCTATACAGTGGTTCTATAAAATTATCAAGTATTTTTATATATTATATTAACATTATTTTCTATTTATGATAAAAAATCAATTATTTGTAGTTTGAAAATAATTTTTTTCTTACCCTCAAAAAGAGATGAAATAAATTAAAACTTGATTATTTTTATCAAACATTTGAACATTTTTCTCTATAGAAATATTTAATATTTCAAGCCTGAATTTATTCAGTTAAGAACGTGGTTTATCACAGTCATAGCTACAAATGGGATACATGACTAATATTGGACTCGTGCGCCAAGTAAAAATTAGGTCTCTGTGGATACCTGACAAAAGCCAACGACCACGTGGTAGCCACCAAGCTCATCCCTCTAATAAACTATAACATTCGATTTCAGTCGCGTGTCGAAGACCGCACGTCATTGTCTCTACTTTTACAAGTTAATGACGACTTAAGTGAGCTGCATGTAGTAGTAACTGAGTAGCTTTAAAAGAGAAATAAAACCCCAGGTAGTCGGCAATAAATATTAGTACTTGAATGTGTCCAGTATAAACAACTCGAGAAAGATAATAATCATTGGTAGATTTGACTCTGTGTAGGTAAATCAGGTAGAGAGGCTGGGATAGGTCGTTGAGTTTGTCGAGTTATAAATAGAAAGAGAGGAGAGGTGGTGTGGATTATCATGACGCAAAAATAAACCAGTTGGGTCAGCAAGTAATGAGAATAAGTCTGGGTAGCTTTTCAAGCCGATAGAACAGGTCATTTTCCAGTCAGAAGATCCCCATGTCGGTGCATGGGTGTAGGTCTAATAAATTCTGAAATACTTCTGAGCCAATCGAGTTGATATTTTTATTTGTCTTTTTTTCGACAATGATTAATAGACATGTCTGCTGACGATAGCAGGTGTCTTCGTAAATGTGTGTGAGTGACTGAACGTAAAGTATATAGCCGGAGTATTCATCTCCCCCGAGACTATTAATGAGAGATATCGTCGTCACAATCTGTCAATAGATCTTCCATTCATAAATTCGCCTTGGGCGTCATAGTTTTGTTACCGTGAAAACTGCGCAAGCGACCACGTGGTGGCTTTGAAGAGCAACGAGACTTGATTTACGCGCGGTTTGTTTCACAGTCGCGCCCGCCTCCTTTTCATCCCGCCTCTCATTTGTCTGCTTTGTTCACTTTGCTCTACCAGCTCTATTGCTCTTTCTCTTGCCACTCTAAACACCTGTAAGCCACAATTTACCGTCCGTTACCTCATTCTTTTCGCACTTCAACAATTGCTTGTTATATACAGGCTATCTCCACTGTTGCTGTACACTATTTACCTTTAGGACACATGTAAATTACATATCAAAGACCTGGTGCTCTTCATTGCTTCTATTTGACCTTGATATTTAATCCTAAACCAACTTTGGTAGCCAGACGATTATGTAAATGCCTCTCGATGAATAGACGACAAATCCTCAGGCTGTACAAATGTCCAATCGGTTCTCGCGTGAGATCATTGTTAGTATGTGTAATAATCCAGCAAAAAAAAAAATGATGATCGTTGGGACAGATAGAAAAAAAAACAACTAGTCATCAACAAAGTCAGATTGTCTGAAAGTTAAGCACGTGGCGTTCTATTCTTTATGTTTGATAGCAATATATTTTCGTTGAGAAATGGCATCGTTTTGTTTACAAATAAGCCGTGTAATTAAAAGGCTGTTTTACAAACGAAATAAAAAAGATAGAAAATGAAATATCGCGTCAGCGTCATATCTCTGCGATTAAACGTCAGTCAAAAACTGTCGTTTGTTTATATACGCTATACACTCACATCATAATAGATAGTTTTCATATTTGTAATAGGAATAAGATTAATTGTCGATAATTATCTATATTGAATAGGTGTAGACGTCTGACTATTACATGACTGATTATCGCATTTATATGTCATTGACACTGGACTGAAAAAAAGAAAAAAGAGCTGTTTATTGATTGAAGTTACAGGTATTAAAAGATCAATGAATGTGGATACTTATCGATGGCTAGAGTTTCCACTTGTTATGAAAATAAAAATCTGACTTTCAATCTAAACAAAAGCATTCAAAAGCTCTGTGGGATACCATTGTTCAAGTTTCCAACTTAATTTGTACATACCTTCAATCGTTTAGTGAAACATGGTGGTAATGAAAGAGACCTTAATATGTAGTACCTGTTACCAGAGGGTTTGGTTTACTGCGGTAAATAAGGAAAGACCTGAGAAGAATGGTAATTGGCGCCGGCGTTTACAACGTTTGACACCCCATAGCAGGTGTCAATCGACCCTCTGACCTACGACTTGTTTTGTCATCATTATTATTCTTCTTTGCTCTCGTTTGATGTCCTTGACCCTCCCTAAGCCTTCTGAAAGGTATATAAAAATACCCTCATCGTAAAAAGGACTGATATAATGGCGGAAAGAAGCTAGTGGCATCATATTACATTAGAAAAAGTCGATATAATATTAAAGCTCAATCTTGAGTGGATCAAATGAAAGATTTGATCAGAATTAGAAAACTTACTTCTAATTTAGGAGCTTTAGAATAAGAGGTTGTTGATGCTGAGTGTAAAAGTATCATGTATAATTCTGGTAACTCATTTAGGTGATGTATGAGAAGACTGTCCATCACAGAGTTGCAATCAAACTCTTTTAAGATCTCTCCAGATTAGAGGTCATAAAGTCCTAATTCCTTTTTACGACTATTTTCTGTACTTATTGGCTGCACTTGAAGGTAAATCAGAGCTCTTATGTCGTGGTACTTGGATAATACCAGGAGCACGTGTTTCCAGATATTCCTTGACACTGACAGTCATTCGCATATCACTCGATGTTGAATACATATGCGACATATATAATGTAATCGTTATATATGAACAGAAACACGCGACGTTACTTGAGAGACAGAAGAAACAGCTGACGATATCGACGAATCATGTACATGGATACGCTTTATACATCAAGTATTTTTCGTACTAGGTGTTCATGCTATCATAGGAAATGGTAAATACACGTGGTTTGAGAAATCGGATTCAAATATATGCGTCAATAGCATCATCCCTCTCGCCGTTTCTCATTGACTCGGTCGTCTAGCCTCTTTCCACTTGACGGCAATGTTCTCTCGGGCTTGCCTCGTACTATCACGTCATCTCTTCCCGAATGGATCATCCTCAACTTCCCCTAGTTTGAACTTCAATGTCCCATGAAACATCCAATACTCTGGTGTTCCACCTCCTCTCACTCTTCACCACACCTATTTCTCTTGAACTAGTGTGTGTGTGTGTTTCAGTGAACGCAAAATATTTACGAAATTTTCACGGTCATTCAGTTTGTCATAGACCTTTAAAGTTCCTCATACAGATCTCAGCATAGGCT